TTATAAAGGAGTCTTGGTACTGCTATGGTTACACATCTTGTTGACTATATGATTAATGGTTCAAACCCAGTAGCTGCTCCTCAGGAGAAAGATGAGGCTGTCTGCTCCTGTAGAAGTGTGCAGTCTTGGAAACTCTATATAAAGTTGTTATGAGTCAGAATCAAATCAATTGGAGTGGCTAGAGCTTAAATGCTTGCTTCTACAATGTCTGTTACTTTTTACACCGATTGTAGGTATTCTGGAGGGAATGTACACGATTATAGCAGGATATGGAAGCAAAGAGGAGTTTTAACCTTCCGTGGGATTACCCTAACGGAATTTTTAAAAACCTGAGTAGATTTGTCACAACTTAAGAAGGCCACAAACCCTCTGAGCAATGGATAATTCTTTGGAGAACTACTAATACTTAAAAATACCCTAGTAGCATTTAAAAAAAAAAAAAAGACTCGTGAAATTAAAAAATAATAATAATGAATACCCTAGTAGCTAGAAACTGATGGCAATGGTGGTAAAGAGCTCATCCTAATGCTGCAGAACAAGATTCCACGAATCTCGCTGAATTTTATGGACTTTGTTTTATAATTGTCATGAGTCTTAAAGTTATTAGCTTTACTTCATATTTGCCTTTCTCCTTGATTTATCTAACACAAAGGTCCACTTAACTTCTATCATTCTCTCTTCAATGGTGCCTCCCACCGTATGGAAAGAGAATACACTTATTAAATTAGCCCAACCTGTAGGTAATGGCAGCAGTTTGACAGAATGTTGACTCCATCATCTTCATCTACAGTGTGGACATGGAAATTCAGATCCATGAGCGTTTCCTATATCAAATGATAGTCTTGTAAGCCCAATGCTGCTTACTAATTTCAACATTACCTTTAAGTGGGCCATAGGTGTTAAGCCGTGGCATCCCCCTAGATGGTTAGCCCAACCTCAGGTACCATGCTTCAATCAAGCTTATATCCTGGAGTAGGAATTTAATTGTTTTAAGGTAAAATTGTTTGCCAGTTGGAACATATTGTAGAAGGACTGCCTAAATATTAATAATACTTTCCCACACCGCCCTGCTGATTCTCCTGGTCCTTCATGAGTTTACTTCAAAGTGCAACCAAATTACTCAACTGCTTAAAGGAAAAGATACTGAATTAACTGGCTTGTCCATCGTTTGTACTGATCTCTAGAGCCCAGCAAGATTAGGGCAGTTGTCCCTTTAACAATTCCCCTTATGCAAAACAGGTTAGTTAAAATATTCCTTTCCCAGACAATTGCACCAGAAACAGTATGATCTGTGCTCCTCCTGGATATATATATTTTATGTGTGGCATCAAAGGAGAGTACAGTAGAAGATGCACATCCAAATGATAACCCCTATGCTTGGGCATTCTCCCGTTTGCGTGGCTGGAGGATAAAAAAGTGCATGGTCACTAGTTCGAAACCCCCAGCAGCACCTCAAGAGAAACCCTGGGCTTTCTACTCCTATAAACAGTTACAGTCTCGGAAACCCACAGGGGGCGCTATGAGTCAGCATGGACACCACGACAGTGATTTTTACACATTAGATAGTTTGGGAGTTCCCCTAAATAGCTACCTTTATAATCATCACTTAATGTACACATCAGGCTAATTGGTTTAAAGATCCTGGTTTCAAATAGAGAAACTCTATGGCAGACCACACTCCAGTAGCTGGTGAACCTGGATCGGATTGGATACTTTTTGGGGCAGTTTTACCGAATTGCAGTGTTCCCCAACTTGAGAAAACTAGTCACAACTTGCCCGCTCCCCCGAGTTAGATTGCAGATGGTGTTGCACGCAGAGGGATTGTTCTGCAAAGCTCTGAGGCTCTTTGGCTAAGGTGGCATTAACAACGGTGATCTGCAAGGAGGGGGGTGTACTCTTGCCGCGCCTGCATAAATATCACTAGGGAAGGAAAACAGGACATCAGGAAACTTTGCCAAAAAACTACTTGGCTACATGCAACCCCTCCTATGCCTGACTCTTCTTTTCTCATGTCTCCAGTGGGTTTGTTTCACCTTAGAAACTGACTTGATTCTTTTTTTAAAATCATTTTATTAGGGGCTCATACAACTCTTATCACAATCCATACATACATTCATTGTGTCAAGCGCATTTGTACATTCATTGCCCTCATCATTCTCACTGACTTGATTCTTATCCTTTCTTTTTGATTCATCATAGGATTCATCAAATATATGAAATGCTTATCTCATACCTAGATCCAAATGAAACACCACGAATGATGCAAAGAGTATTGTATGTCAAGGAAGCAAAATCCTTCGAAGAAAACTGACCCTATACCCCGATTTGACTTTCTTGTCACATGTGTGCCTCCTTTGACTTTGAGTTCTGTTCTGAAAACCCTTACCAACAACAAGATACACGAAGAAGCCCTACTTGCTTCCTTGATTGTTTTGTGTTGACCTTTTGTTGCTTGAGTTTGTCCTGAATATGCCCCTCCCATTTGGTATTGCCTGGTTCCAAATACAGTTCAACTTACTCTGAAGGCGAGGCCTACTAGCTCTGCAGAGTGAAGACATTAATTTTGATTGAGCATCAGGAGAGCGAAGTTCTTAACAGAAAGAGGATATTCATTTGTAGGTGATCAACAAAAGGATGTGTAAACAGATGATTGAACTTTCACTAGAGCGCGTCTTAGTCATCTAGTGTTGGTATAACAGAAGTACCGTAATTGGACGGTTTTACACATAGAAAGTTCACAGTTTAGGAGTCTAGAAGTTCTTATTTAGGGCATCTAGGGAAGGCTTTTTGGTTTGGGGCTCAAGGAAGGTCCTTGTCTCCTTTGAATATTCGTGTTGTTCTTTGGAGATCTACATGTGTCTTGGCATCAATCTTGCCTTAGGTCTAGGAGTTCTCAGACCAATGGATTTTCTAGGTGCAATGGAGGCTCTGTGTCCAGTGAATTTGATCCAGCTTTTCATGTTTGGTGTTATCCGATCTCTTTTCTCAACTCACTATTTTTCCTTTTAACTCTTGTAAGATAAAAAGGTGATGTAAGTTCATACCTCAGGGAAAACTCCCATTACATTGAACCAGGTCTGTGAATTGAACAAAGGAACCCTGGTGGTATAGTGGTTAGTCATTGGGCTACTAACTGCAAGGTCTGCAGTTCAAAACCACTCGCTGCTCCATGGAAGAAAGATAGGCTTTTTTTAAAAATTGGGGGCTAATACAACTCTTATCACAATCCATACATACATCAATTGTGTAAAGCACATTTGTACATTCACTGCCCTCATCATTCTCAAAACATTTGTGCTCCACTTAAGCCCCTGGCATCAGCTCCTCATTTTCCCCCTCCCTCCCCGCTCCCCCTCCCTCATGAATCCTTGATAATTGAAAAATTATTATGATTTTGTCATGTGTCTTACACTGCCCAACGTCTCCCTTCACCCACTTTTCTGTGAAAAGACAGGTTTTTTTTACTCCCATAATGAACTACAGTCTTGGAAGCCCACAGGGGCATGTCTACCTTGTCCTGTGTGGTCGCTGAGTCAGCATCCACTAGATGGGCGTAAGTTTCTTTTGCTTATTCTTCCCAATCCTGCCTCTTTAAAATAACAAGCGTAACGGAGTCTACGTTAGCATGACCCAACCCTGCTTGATGAACACAGAACGGTCAAGATTTGCAACATATCACAAACACAGACTAAGTATATCACATCATGGCGTGATTATATCATCATGTAACTGCCAAATCACATCCTTGCGTAAATTGCCAAACCACAGAATTGCTAGGTTTCCCCCGGGTGGGAGATAGCTCAGACCTTGGCTTCAAAGGAGAAAGAATTCACTCCAGAGCCTGGATTGTGATCCAAGTGAGTTTTATGAAAGATAGAAGACATTTCAGGTTTACACGGGCCCCTCAGGGCCCTTCACCCCGCACAGCCTGCCAAGAAGCTGCTTGAGAGAGAGAAGAAAGAGACCCGCAGTGGGATCCGGAGACCATCTGTTAGGTGGCTCTGTCGGGAGGCATGGTCAACAATCCTGGTCGACCCCATTGGCTGAATTGAATTCACCTGGCCCAGATGGGCCAATCCAGGTGTAACGCCCACCTAGATGTACCACCCCTTCCTGGCCAGAAGCAATTGTTTATCCACACTGTTACCAAGAAATGTTTGTCAAGAACTAGATGAACAATTATGAAGAACGCACTGATTTCTTTTTTTTTAAGTCTGTGGCATTGGTCATGTTGAACCCCAGGTATGAAAGCTCCACACTTTTCTAGAACTCTCGGCACTGCCCAACTGGAGCTGCGTGTCTTCCAGCAGAAGAGGAGATGTGGTCCTTGACAAATGAAATCACTGTGTATTGAGAAACGTCACAGCCACTGGAAACACTGTAAAGCAGTCCAGCTGCAAACCACTGGTCGCCAGGAGTCCGACTCACCCACATTCTTATTTCTTTAGTTCTCGTTCTCATTCTTGGTCTTAATTTTTCCCTCACACATCACCTGTTAGAAATAACCGGCAAGTATATAAACTCTTCCATTTGCTTCATTACATGCCAACGCCTCTGTTAGCACTCTTCCTTCGACGGATAGTTCTCAAGCAACAGATTCCCTATTTGACCTTGCCGGCTCTGCTTCTTTCTAGACAATTCAAGTTGAAACAACCCCCCTCCAGGAAGGTTTCCCTGTTGGCTGTATCCACTATTCCTTTTCTTTGTTGCCTCAGTAGACTCCTGCCACATCTATAAAATGCCAATAGTACCTTTTGGTAATTGGCTTTCTTGACTGTATCTTTTGACATGGAATAGGCTTGTGGAATCACATATATTGTTTTAGTTTCCTTTCTCTCTTTGATGCATACATAGGTCCTTGTCTGGCACAGAGTAGGGAGTAAGTCACCCTTGTTCGATACATAAATGGCAGGTAACTTTGCCCTCAGGTTTCTGTTCCGTAGCTCCAGCATTGTATCTCTGGTGTCTACTCATCTACTTTTGTCAACCTTGGCTTGCAGATGCTTCTTCTTGGAATTATCCTGCTCCCCATCCGTGCCTTACTGGTTGGATTGATTTTATTACTGGCGTGGCCATTTGCTGCAATTTCAACAGCATGCTGTCCTGAAAAGCTGACTCATCCAATAACAGGTTGGAGGAGGTAAGAAATAATTATGTTCAAGTCTTTGGTAAATCAATGTCAAGAAGTGTTTACCATGGTTTAGACAGTGCTAATAGCCCTATCGCTTACCTACTTATTTGTAATAGTTTACTATTGCTCAGAAGAACCATGGTCTTAATGTATCACATATAAAAGACACTGCCAAAGTACATTATGATAATCTTTTGTTGAAGTCATGATTTTCTGATGTGAGAACATCTTGATCTCTGAGTTATTGCCAAAAGGTGGGGCATCCCTGGTTCTGAAAACGACCCAGTTAGTATACCTGTAACCATCGAAGCGTCACGGCCGGGGCTTTCTTTCCTTCTTCTCAGTCTGTTTTCAATGCCTTTGCCCTTCAAGGACCACTGGTGGTGAAGTGCTTTGTGTGCTGTACTGCGAACCCGAGGTTTAGCAATTTGAACCCACCAGCCATTTCCAAGGAGAAAGGTGAGGCTGTCTTCCTCTGTCAAGATGTACAGCCTCAGAAACCCCAGGGAGCATTTCTATATTCTCTCCTAGAGGGGTTGCTGTGAGTCAGAGCTGACTCATAGCGAGTTGGTTTGAGTTTGTCCTTCAATAACTAAATGCTTTCTAACAAGTGTTCAGTGGTATAATTAAATGCAGCTATTGTGATATATTTTTTTGTTTTAAGTAATTGCTATTATTAATACTTTAATAATAATTACAGTCCAGGTTTTTTGAAACAGCGTTGAGGTAGAATGGAACAGTGTCTGAAGCATTATCTAATTAGCATAGTGATCATAGGAGCAGATGGATATTGGTTACACGTTAATTCCTCACAGGCATCTGTACGCCTTGACAGTGGAGCCTCTTCCTGTGGATTCCATGGATTCCATAAAAATCCATAAGTGGATTTTGGAGTCCTGTTGAATTATCTGAAATTGTTCAAAGGTCTGCTCCATTCTCCCAAATCTCAAATGGGTATACATCCTTCCAATTTTTCGTTCTTGAGATTTTACTGTTCAGTTTATGTTCCAGTGAACAAGCAACAAACAAACAAAGCCCCAAACAAACCCAAACCTAAACAAAACCAAAATCCGGGGTGAAAGGGAACAGAACCAAATGCAACCACAGCCCCAATAGCAGGTCGGTCCTTGCAGACCGTTCTCCTTTGTTTTGTAACACTAGCTTCCCCCAGCCGTTGCCATCCAGTTGATTTTGACTCGTGTGAGCGCTACAGGACAGAGTACACACCTGCTCCATAGAGTTTCCAAGGTGAGCTGCAAACCGTTAATAGAGTAGATAGCATTATCGTTCTCCTGTGGAACAGCTGGTGGAGTTGAATTCTTGACCTCGAGGTGAAGCCCAGCACCCACCCACTGTGCCAGTAGGATCCTAACGCAAGGTTCATTTATTTATTTTTGGTTTCTTTGTTAGTGGGTGGTTAATGACAACCTAGGATGATGAATGAGTGGTTTTTGCTTAGATGATATTGAGCTTCTAATAAGAATGCTGGAAAAAAATTAGAAAATGTATAGTGGTAATGGTTGCACATGATGAACATCATTCACGTCACTCAATTGTCCATGCCCAAAATACAGATGTTGGATGTGTTGTCAAGAGAGATCAGTGCCTGGGGGACTGTGGGTACCAGCCCCCACAATCGAATGGGTCCAAGGAGTGGTTGTGTAATGGGGTAAAATTAAAAGAGACATCAGACAATATAAGGCATGCAATTGCTCACCTCCCGGATGGTCATGATCTCAGCAGCCAGGTCCATACAGAGAGAGGGGAGAATGGGCAGGTATATTTCCAATCACGGCATATATGTACTTCCAGGGATGTGCAATCCCCCTGATTACTTCATAACAGGAAGGGGTTGTACAATCAGCATACATCAGTCAGAGTGGGACAAGCAAGGGGTTACACACAATCAGAAGGGGCGGCACTAAAGGTACACATGTGACAAGATGGGTGGACCCTAGATTCAAGATGGCAGCCTAACCTTGGTCCTCCTTGAGTGGGCTCAACCTTGTCTCTGGTCTCTCCTTCAGGGAGACAATCCACTGTCCTTATCAGAAAGAAGTGGGCCCTACTTAGGGTGGGACAGTTTATAGAGTCTGATATCAGCTCTAGATGGCTGATAGCCCTCAGGGAGGTAACCTCTAAGCAGCTTGTGGTGACCTCCAAGTGGACAGTCATTTACCATGTGTTGCATACATATATTGGGGGGACAACCTGGGGAAAAACCCTTCTGCATCCCACAAAGAACATCATGCATGGTAAATAGAGGAGCAGCAAGACAGAGGAAGACTGTCAGCAAGATGGATTGACCCAGTGGTTGCATCAGTGAGCTCAGACATAAGAACAATTGTGAGGATGGTACGGGGCTGGGCAGTGTTTCATTCTGTTGTATGTTGGGTCACTACGCGTTGGAACCAACTCAACGGCACCTAACAACAACAATAAATTGTACATGAAGCCCTAGTAGGGTAGAGGATTATATGTTAGACTGTTAACCCCAAGGTCAGCAGTTCAAATCCACCAGCTGCTCCAAAGGAGAAAGATGAAGCCTGGCTTCTCTCATAAAGATTTACAGCCTTATCCAAATTTGTATTTTTTCCTTTTCTCAACAGTCTTAAACATTTTGTACCACTGACTAAACTAATGACGCTGTAGTGTTGATGCTTTGGGCTGCTAATGGCAAGGTCAGCAGTTTGAAACCACCAGTCAGCTCTGCAGGGAAAAGGATGAGGCATTCCACCCCTGTGAAGAGTTGCAGGCTTAGAGACTCACCAGGGAAATTCTGCTCTGTCCTATAGGGTCACCAGGAGTCACCATTGACCTAATAGGGATCTTGGAAATGCTCTCTAACAAAAAACGAAAATGATGTCTCTAAGGTGAACCAGAGCCTTATGTAAACCTTAGATCAGTGGTTCTCAACCTTCCTAATGCCGCAACCCTTTCATACAGTTCTTCATGTTGTGGTGACCCCCCCAACCATAAAATTATTTCCATTGCTACTTCATAACTATAATTTTGCTACTGTTATGAATCATAATGTAAATATCTGATATGCAGGATGTATTTTCATTGTTATAAATTGAACATAATTAAAGCATAGTGATTAATCACAAAACAATATGTAATTATATATTGTGAAATATTTATGTGTTTTCCAATTAGGTGACCCATGTGAAAGTGTCCTTTGACCTCCCAAAGGGATCATGACCCACAGTTTGAGAACCACTGCCTTAGATGAATGGATGGATTTTGGGCTTGCACTTAATTCTAGCCCCAATCTAAGAAAATTTAATTCTTATGACATGGTCTTGCTTAATGCTCACCCTCATGAAGATTTGAGTGCTACAGCAAAGTGTGGGGAAGAATACAGATGGTGCCTGGTTATCAGAAGGAATAGGGTCTGGGGTCTTTAAGGCTTGTTGTCAAACAAGCAGCCATCTAAGTGAACCATCAATGAAGTCCACATGGAAGAAGCACAACAGCCACATGATCCAAGGACTAAATAATATAATCTACATCTACAGGAGCGAATGGTATCAGAGTTTAAATTGTGAACATCTGGTTTGCAGAAAGCTATGGATGACAGTGGAAACCCAAAATCCATTTGCAGGGGCCACGCATGGATTTAACCTCTGGTGAATCCCCTCTGATCATAGTTAAAGGATGTGAAAGTCCTGTTATCAGACAGAGAGCATTGTAAAGTTGACTATGGCAGAGGTAGTTAGGTTAAAATGTACATCTTATCATTTGCTCTCCCTTTTGATCCATTTTAAAGCTGTTTCGGTGAAAGAAAAAAAAAGGTGAAGGGGAAATATACATGGAATAAGCCCCTGTTGAATCCCCTCTGACCATGGACATGAATGTGAATAGCCTTGCTATCTATCACGCAGAATGCATAAGGAAAGTGGATTGTTGCAGATGCAGTTAGGTTAAAATGTAGCACCCTATCACTTGATCTCCCTTATGATCCATTTAAATTTGTTCTGTTCTAGTTTCACTTGTTTTACTTTGTTATTGTTGCTCGTGGCTTTTTGGGTTTTTTAATATTTTTCTGTATATGAAATCCAGGATAGGTAAACCTGAGGGGTAGGAGAAGTTGAGGGGAAATGGGGAAGCAATAACAATGGGTACAAGAATGAAGGAAATGTTCTAAAACCGATTGTACTGGTGATTTGATTGTATAGATCTTCTTGATGTGATTGAACTACTAAATTATAGGATATGCAAGTTAAATGCCAATAAAATTGTTGGAAAATATATTTACAGCCTCAGAAACCATGCAGAGCAGTTCTGCTCTTTCCTAGGGTCTCTCTGAGCTGGAATTCACTGGATGGCAGTGGGTACTCACTATAGCATTACAAGAATGTTTTGAGCACTAGATAGTTGCTATTTGCTGGGCTCTAACCCCCGGTGATCAATCCCATGTATACGGCAACCATGAATGAATCCTACTTTTAAAAGTTCTCAGTAGATGCCTTGTGGGTGAGATAATGCTTCTTGCTTGTTTTCATAGAAAGCTGTGTGCTTATTCACATAAAGAAGTCCTTCCTATGTTTGCCTTTGCCAGACTGACTGCATTCCTATTTCCCTTCAGCCCTGGATTTATTGATGACAGAGACTTGACCTTGTCTTGTGTGCCCTGCACAGTTTCTGGCACAGTTCGATGAATGAACTTTCAATGGCAGATTTCTTTTTTCAGTCAACAACTACATTTCTGGAATGATTTATGTACAACTCTGTTCCAAAGAGGTGGGGAGGTGGATTTCTTTGTTCAGATTCTGGATGGGGTATAAGAAATCTGGTTCTAGTAATGAGGTTTCCTTTAAGAAGCTCTTCCTAAAGTCTCTGTGAGACAGTGGTTCTCAACCTTCCTCATCTGCGACCCTTTCATACAGTTCCTCATGTGGTGGTGACACCCCCCCGCCCCCAACCATAACATTATCTTTGTTGCTACTTCCTCACTGTCATTTTGCTACTGTGATGAATTGGTGACCCCTGTGAAAGGGTTGTTCGACCCCCAAAGGGGTCGTGACCCCCAGGTTGAGAACCGCAGCTCTGAGGACAGTGTCAGCACGAGAGTTCTATAAATGCGTCGGGAGTGAGTCACATCTTCATTACACAGATCTCTGAGGAAGCTTCAAACAGTTCACGGGAAAATCCCTTTACCTTTCATTCCATTTTCCCACAAACTTTTGGAAGCCCCCTCCTAGATTCTCACCGTCATTACTCTGAATAGCAGTACTCTTGAATCTCTCGGTGAGCAAAGTGTTGAAAATGCATTCATAGTCCTTTGTAGCAACAGAGTAATGAAGCCGTGTACTAGCTGTGTGTCTTTGGGAAAATGATCTTTTCCTCGCAGTGCCTCCATTTCCTCATCTGCAAAGTAGAACTATTATTGTTAACTGGCTGCTTTGCAAGAGTGGACTGAGGATGAGGTAAATTAATACCTGAAAGCCAGGTCTTGTTGCAAATGTTGCTAATTATTCTCAACATATATTTTAAACTAAAGTGTTGACGTGTTCTGGTTTCCTTATGATGTTTTAGAGTAAATCTCTGTTGTTAGCTTCAATTAGCAAAGCTAATTATGTCCTTCTGGAAATGTTTATTTTCAAAGGAAAATCACTCAATCTGCTTTGAAATTTCTGGGTCGCATCATGTTCTTCTCCATGGGATTCACCGTTACGGTGAAAGGAGAGGTCGCAGGTCCCCTGGAAGCTCCCGTTTTTGTGGTTGCGCCTCATTCAACATTCTTCGATGGGATCGCCTGCGTCATAGCCGGGATGCCTTCCATAGTTTCCCGAAATGAGAATGCACACGTTCCTCTGATTGGCAGTAAGTACCAATAACGTAACAAAGTATCCTCATGCTCACACTGTACCTTCAAAATGACGTCCATTTTATTGGCCGGCTTGTTAAGAGATATAAAAGTACTAACACATCTTATATGCCTTTCTTCTTTTTCATGAGAATATGATGCTGAAGGAAAGCATTTCTGGAAAGAAAAAAAAAGATTTGTGATTTCTCCATCTTTCCCTGATAATTCTTTTTAAAACTTAGTTTTATTACTGTTCCTTCATGCCTTTTCTTATTTGTAAACAGAAAGATTAATTTTCAAATACCATGTATACTTGATTATTTTTTATTTAGAAGATTTAAACTAAAGAAATTGTGGGAAGAAACTTCTATTAGAGCTTAAACTTCTGAGCATTGAGTTTCCTGAAAGCTATGGGTTAAAGTGGGAGCCCTGTGTTAGGCTAGGCTGCCTAAAGAAACAAATCCAGAGACCCTCATATATGGCTAAGAAAGAACTTTATATCAAGAAGTAATCATGCATCAATAAAACATCCCAGCCCAGTCCAGATCAAGTCCATAAGTCTGATACCAGTCCATACGTCTTTCTTCAATTTATGCAGCACACGCAGTGATGCAAAATGCAGGAATATCACAGGCCTGTGGGTGGAAAGTCTTGTGGATCCAATGGTGGTGATGCATCACAGGCCCTGGCAAGGCTCCGCCTGGCTCATCGAAAGGAAGGTGAAGGCAGAGAGAGAGGCCCACCTCCAAATAACCATTTATATTAGTGGTACCTCCAAATGAGGTCATCAGGCTGCAACCTTATTGACAGGCTAAACTCCACCATATCTTCTCACAGGTGCCATGCGCGCGCGCGCACGCGCGCACACACACACACACACACACACACACACACAAAACCCTAACTATCACAGTCCACCCCTGGCCAACTTGGCACTTGTACAAAATTATTTGGCCCTGTATACTTTTTAAAACAAGGACAATAGTAAAATCATATTTTTGCCTAATAGGATAAAACTAAAATGCATACAACTGAAAATGTGCCAGCCTCACTGAAACATAAGTCAAGAAAACAAAAATATTCTATGCCTAACAATTGAAGTTAAGTGAAAACCTAAACCATGGTCCTATAATCCTACCAACATATTAACCCACCCATGAAAGTCCATCAGCCAACCACTTCATGCCTTTACCCCCCCCATTTGGCGTATCTAATTTCTATACTGCCCATTTATATGAACCCAATGCTCTGAGGAGACATGCATGTTCTTTAATGTAAAGAATCTTCATTCTGGTTGTAACTTTGTGAGCCTGCATCCATAAGCAAAGTCAAATTAGGACAGGCCACCCATAAAGTGGGCAGCAATATGCACCAGTTCACAGGCTCAAAGATCTTCTCTTCATCTGGTCGGGTTCTGGTCCACTCAGTGTGGGCCATCTCACTTAGCCTCCCTAGGGTGTCCATTGGCCACCTCGCCTTTTGACCATGGGCTCAATCACAAATTCTCAACAATCCTATCCCCCTTGGGCTAGATCATGCCATAGGCTCAGATTCTGCACCACTCTTTAAACTTCACACCAGCCAACCTGCTCTCTTCTCTTCTAATCCCTGTGAACCAGGTCCATGGGTGTCAGTAACCAGACTCAACTCATCTCTCTATTAGTGCTTTTCTCCCACTTCCATTCAACCATTGGATCCAGCTGGTCGCCTAAAGAGCATTTCAGGCTACCTGCAGGCTCCCTTTAGTATTCAGTCTTAGAGAGGAGGGTTTCTTCATGGCTTCAAATTTTTCCAACTTCAGGTGCAAACCACTAGTTCAAACTTCAAAATGACAAAATGCTCCCTTTTTCCCCCCTTCAGTCTACCAGTAGCTCTTTCAGCAAGTCTTTTCGAATGCAAATATCCTGAGGACTCAAGGCACTGGGTAGGGCTTATCTTTTCAGAGCCTTCTTTGCAAGCACGCCTACACCCATTTAAAGATCCAATTTATGATTGAAGGCAGTGGGCTTACAAACTCTCTATTTTCATATGGCCCAATAATCATTTCTAACACTTTTAGAAGAAATCATTATCATCCTAGTACAGCCAGGTCCTAAACACATTCTTAAAACAGTCCAATTCAATCCCACTTCTTATGTAAACTACCCCATTTATATGTAATATGACCTTACGCCTCTCCTCTGGTTGCATCAAGTCAGTGCCAGGCCTTCTGTCAGCCCTTTTGACTAAGTAACTTGGTCTCAGAGGAGAAGTTCAAGGGGCGATTTCGCCCCCTGAATTTAAATTTACACATATCACATTCATTTTCACCATTTCAGACAGGACTAACCAAAGACAACCACCAATGGAAAGAATCAAAACCTTAACTTCCCATATTCTTTCCAGAAAACAATTGCGTAAACTGCGTGGGCCTATCCGACCTCTGGCTAATGAAAGAAGACAAAATACCATAAGGCAGAGGTCAGACGAGCGTCCACTCTCTGTCTTCATGATTTGTCACTCTAGTACCTCACTCTCAAGGTACCATAATGTGTTCGGCTGGCTTGACTAGAGAAGCACATTTAGTGATACTCATATATATGTAAGAGAGAGCTTTATATCAAGAAGGAATTCTATATCAAGCAAACATCCCAGGCCAGGCCAGGTACAGTCCCTATGTCAGATACTTGTCCATAGGGTGAAAAGTCTTGTGGATCCAATGGTGGTGGACGCATCCTAGGGCTCTGGCAAGTCTCAGGAAGGTGAAGGCAGAGAGTGAAGGAGGTTCCCACTTCCAGAAAGCCATTTGTCTCTCTGGCACCTAAATGAGCTCGTCTAACTGTGTCCTGACTGACAGGATAAACTCCACCTATATCTTCTTACAGGTGCCATGTTGGCACCAGAAAAACTAGTGATCACAAGCCCCAAATTCATTTATAAGTCGCTGTACAAAATGAGCTGCCGCTGATTCTTTCTGACCATTTTACCAGGAATGTAAATAACAAGGCAGTGGACAACTAGAAAGGAGATTGCAGCCACTCTCCTAGCAAGTTAATGAAAGGGGCAGCCTAACCCTTAGGGACTGGCCTGGGCACACCCTTAATGGATATTGGGGTGCTGTGGTTCCATGATCCTTTTAGCTAGAGGGCTCTTAACCAATCTTAAAAATTCTCCTGTCTAGCATAATGTATATGGCCCCATTCCAGAAACTGTGGTGTCCTGATACTGTCAATTATGCTTTTGTGAATTCCCTTTGCCCTCCCATCTTCTACTTAAATGGATGTTTCTGTAAATCTTTGGGCACCAGGATGACCTTATGCGAATGGTCTCCCTCTTCCAGATAATGTGTCTTTGTTTTGTCTGTCCTGTTTAAGGCTTCATAAATGTTCTCCTTAAATTATATTTGCAATCCGGGGTCTCCCCCCCCCTCCCCGCATGCCCCTCCCTCCCCGAAAACAAATGGCGTAGTCGGCAGGATTTGAGGGTCAGATTTCCTGGCTGGATTTCCAGAGGGTTGAGGACTGGCATCAGAGAAAAGGATGTTTTACGCCACATTTCTGTGAACCCTGAGAGACTCCACAAGGTGAATAGGAACCCAGTTTTTTATTGCTTCCCCAGAAACTGTTAAATCTTGCTGTGTGTTTTCTCATCTGTGGATTACTAAAACTTTGTTCCTTTTTCTCTCTCTCCTGTTTATACAAACGCCTCTGACTACCTTCTTTACAGTTTGTTCTTGCTTTCCAGTGTATATGCCTAGGTTTGGGGTGACATTAAGAATCATCGGGAACAGCAGTTCTCAACCTGTGGGTCGTGACCCCTCTGGGGGTCGAACGACCATTTCACAGGGGTTGCCTAAGACCATTGGAACACACATATCTCTGATGGTCTTAGGAACCAAGACACTGCTCCTCTGTCCGACTCCAGGCGGGTCCCACATCGAAGTAGCTGGTGTGAAGACTGTTACCCATGCTACACTTACTTCAAGACAAAATTTCACTTGTCATTAGAAATAAATATTTCACAATATATAATTACATATTGTTTTTGTGATTGATCATTATGCTTTCACGATGTTCAATTTGTGAACATCCATCCTGCCTATCAGATATTTACATGACGATTCTTAACTAGCAAAATGACAGTGATGAAGTAGCAACAAAGATAATTTTGTGGTTGGGGGTCACCACAACACGAGGAACTGGACGAAAGGATGGCAACGTGAGGACGGTTGAGAATCGCTGCTCAGGAACGTGGTGTTCCGCCGCGGCATGCAGCAGTGGCCATTCCTATTTTTGAGCAGCGCTGAAGCCGAGTTGGTTAGCTTACAGTGGTGGGGGTGCTGGCATGCACTGCATTGCTGCCACCGCCTGGATTTTTATGCAGGTTTAGGGTAAAATCACCCGGAGCCGAGAGGAATGGGTGGCGATGATCTAACTGTCTTCCACATGTGTTGTCTCCCTTGGTAAGACAGAATGCTTCTATCATGCTCTCCTCATGCAATAGAGATTGGCATTCTATTATCAAGAGGCCATTAGAACATAGCTTCCCAAGCTTATTTGGCTCACCACCCCCTTTTCAGAAAAAAAATTACTCACCAGCCCCCTGACGGTTGAAAACGTTTGTACAATAAGTACAAGGGACTATCCCCCTTAGGACTATGGGGTTATTGGGGGATGATTTTGCCCATAATCCAGGACACAGTGCAGATGATCTGCTCTTGCAGCCCCCTGGATTGTTGCAGCGCCCCCCCCCCAGGGGGTGGTATGGCCCACTTTTGGAAACACTGTTTTAGACCCGCTGTGGCAACCTGTGGAGAACATTTTCAGTAGTAGTTTACAATGGGTGTAGCTAACCGAAATAGCTTCGTGGACCTGCCCAAGTTAAAAAACACACAAAACATGTTGGACTGATTAAAAAGGACTGATCTTGTAAACTTGGAGTCCACCAAACTAAATCAAGATTTCTAGAATTCTGGAAGGTAGCAGGGTTCATGAATTACAACTGATCCAAAAGCCATAAAGATTAGAAATTAGCCTCT